AAAAGATTTATTTATTTATGCACACAAGAACTAGAGCACAGGCCAGAGGTGCACCGGTGAGAAGACTCACCAGAGACAGAGTGGGGAGCAGAACAGGCAGCTGTACTGAAATACACTGTGGAGGGGAGCAGCAGGGGGGTCAGGAGAGGTCTGGCACACCCTGTGGGTCACTCCCTGGCCAGGGGTTGAACTCATGCTGCAGTGGCTGCAGACAGCTTCATAGAGCTGTGCCTTAACCTGCTGCGCCACCAGGAAGGGCCCAAAGGACTTATTTTCTGATGCTTAAAATGTACTTTTCAATGGTAACTTCCTTAGTATGTATATAATTTTTTTCATTTCTTGTCCTTTCCTAACAATAATTCTTTGAGTCATTATTCTCAAAGTCAGGGGTACTTTGGTAGAGAGTTCACAGCCAAATGAAGGGTAATTTCTGAAATGATTTTATGTCCCCAAACCATCTAATTTTATATTACTAGTAAGTCTTACCTAATGACTTTTAAAAAGTCTTGCTTTGGGGCCTCCCTGGTGACTCCGCACTATGAAGCTATTGCAGCCACTGCAGCATGAGTTTGTTCCCCAGCCAAGGAGCTGACCCAAAGGGCACAGCAGATCCCCTCCTGTCTCTCTGCTGCTCCCCGCAGCAGCATATTTCAGTAAATCTGCCTATTCTGCTGCCCACTCTGGCCTACAGCCTAGTTCTTACATGCACGCCTAAATAAAATATAGCTTTTAAAAACTGCTTGTTTTTGTGTGTGTGTGTCAGGAAAGAAACTTTTATTGTTTATAGAAGAGGTATTATGCTGGAGAACTTGAACTAATAAGTATGTCTTTAAAACTGCTTGTTTTTAAGCAAAATAAACTAACGTGGAAAAAAAAATCACAAGGTTAGACTGGAAAACAAATCTCAAGAGATACTTACTATTTTATTCTGAAAGATTTTTCCACTTCTTGTTTTGCTTTCAGACACATCAAGTTCAGATGTTTTACTGACTAACTGCTCAACCTAGGAAAGAGTAATTACCAAAAAACCATATAACAATGCAATAAAAACTTTTCATAGTTCAATAATGACGTTGAAATGTTCAACAAAAATGTAGGGTCTTGTAATGCTGAACTAATGAAAACCAGGCATTTTGAGTTGGTTTTTCAGGAAAGCACAAAGGTGAAGACACTGTCCCAGCACCCTGAGATGAGAAGGGGCAACGCCAGCGGCGCTCTCTTGCACAGCTGCGGCTGCGCCCTTCACAAAGGGGCTGAGAAGAGGAAGTGACTGGTCACGAACCCACCACTTCCAAGTTCATTTTAACTAACCCTGTGACTTCAGAATTATGCTGCCTATGGAAACAGTATAAGCATGCTGTGCTTCAAGGCAACAGAATGTATCACACACGCTGGCAAACACAGGGGTGATGTCGGATATAGACTGCTTCCGAGTCTACTGAGCGCTGGAATCCTGACACCCGTGGTCAGCACTCACGCGCATTACTAAACTCTTCTTAATGCCTAATTTTCTTCTAGAAGACCCAGGATTTAATAAGAAATTCTGAGCAATAACTAAAAAGCATATAAGCAACAGTCTTCTGGAAAACACAAGTTACAAAAGTGAGAATGGAATTACCAACTTTATACCTGAGAATGAGAAACAGAAAAACCAGAACTTTCTTTAAATTTCACTTCATCTTCCTCAAAAACTAAATCTGGTTCTGTAAAAAAAAAAAAAAAAAAAGCATATTTTATACTAAATAGTGTAAAATTAAATAAGAAATGAATTAATCTACATTTTCATTATTACCTCTGGTTTCACAACATCCATGGGTTTTTCTCTGCCCTTCCATTTTAGTTTCAATGTCAGAATCATCCTACATAATTGTAAGAAGGAAAAAATACACATTTCAAAAAAACCCCAACTAGCTAGAGGTAACTATGAACAAGTCTGTTTCATGAGAAGGCCAAGTACATCATTTACTACAAGTACTGCACATGTGCTGAAGAGAACAGGGATATCACTGCTAGCAAGGCAACTTATTTATGCACAGTATAAATACTACTTCAGTTTGCAACTTTCTCAAAAATGCATGATGGTTCCAAGAACCCTAGACACTTCTTTTGCATCCTGAGGACACTGAATTAGACATGTTCGCCCAACAAACCACCACTTCATAGATGCTAGCACACACTCTAAGCCTCAGCTCTCTTCAGGGTGTCAGTGAAGGATAATGTGTCTTGATATGGTAGTTAGTAACAGGGTTAATGTCTATAGGGTTATTGTTCCCTTTGTGACATGTCAGAGCTTTTAATATATTTTTTTAAAGACTTATTTGTGCATATAGAACTGGGTACCGGCCAGAGGTGCAGGGGCAGTGAAAGGATTCACCAGAGACAGAGCGGGGAGCAGAAAAGGCAGATCGAGGAAGTCCACTGCTGAGGGAGCAGCGGGCGGGTCAGGAGAGGTCTGCTGTGGCATGTGGTCACCTCCGGTGCAGGCGGGAATCGAACCCATGCTGAAGTGGCTTTAGCTTTTTAGTTAGTGCTTTAACCCGCTGTGCCACCAGCTCTGTGCCCAGAGTTTTCAATATTTTAAAGAAAACTACATAATCCCCAGCTATCTTTGTTTACAAAACAAGACTGGGATTTAAGTTTTAGGGGAAAATTTTCTTCTTTGAATTGTCTGAAATTGAATTTTCAATTTGTAAGGATGCAGTCCCAGAGCACAAGTCAGCATCTGTACATAAGTATTGTGGGCATAATTTACAGTAACATGAGACAAGCGAAAACAAGGGTGAAGTGATTTTGCAAATACTAAAAGATTTTTGGGAAATGAGGCAATCAAAATGCTTTTAAATATACCGCTATTCACCTATCCTTCAACCAGTACTGCGCATGCACACTGTAAGTCTGAGCGCGAGGCGCAGGAGGGCTACAAAGACGAGTAAGACGCTTTTCCTGCCTTCCAGGAACTTCCAGGTTGCTTCAGCACAGGCTTGCCAGACCCCGACGAATTCAAACACGTGCTTACATGAGCACCCAGTAGGGTGCTGAAGAAAGGGTTCCAGCCTTAGTTGGAGGATTGGGCTAGGTCAGTAGTTTTCTTTCTTTTCAAGATTTACTTATTTATGCATGCAAGAGTTGGGGTGTAGGCCAGAGGTGTGAAGGAGGGGCAAAGGACTCACCAGGACGGAGTGGGGAGCAGAACAGACAGAAACACTGAAATCCACTGCTGAGGGGAGCCGCGGGGAGACAGGAGAGGTCACTTTCTGGCTGGGGATCGAACTTGTGCTGTAGTGGCTGGTGACAGCTTCACAGTGCTGAGACTGAACCCTTGGGTCACCAGGGAGGGGCCCATTCAGTAATTCTCAAATTTTGCTCCAGGCTAAGGGGTCTCCTCAAGTCACTTGAGGGCAGGTGAGGCGGCAAGTGGCTCGGCCTTCAGGACCACTTTATTTCAGTGATAATAGTTGTGCTTTTAAATTTTTGACAATAATGTTTCTTTTACCAAGGGAAAGAATTCTGGAACCACAAACCACTGCCTCATTCATGTCCCTTCCAACCTTGAGTTTATGATTACAGTGCACTTACACAAGTATTAATAGAAACTATTAAAGTCCTCAGAATCGAGTTAAACATGTGCTACTACTATGCTTTATAACTCTTAACATACGCTCACACTTACGTAATGCTCCTGTTCATTTCCTAGATCATCTTTGTCCATGAGAATTTTTTGAAGTGGTGTTTTTAAATGTTTTGGTGATAATATGGTTGAATCAATATTTTCCATTCGTTCTTTCTCAGTGGTCACTTTTACTTTAAAGGTGTGAAAAGGTGTGGGGACTTCGCCCACATTTAAGTACATAGGTTCCCCTTCAAATATCACTCCTTCGCAATCACCGTCCTTAAAGCCAGGAGGCTGGTAATCTGGAGGTGTAACTGCAAGAGTAAACGGACAGTCGAAGACATCAGTACTGTTGCTGTAAAAGTAAATGCAGACTAAGGGGCATGAACAGGATAGAAGGGATTGCAGTAAAAATAAACATTACTCTTCTACTTCCACGCTGTGACTTTATTCCCCAAAAGTCACCTTTTCCTCCCTCACCTGACTGGCTATGTGACCTTGAGAAGTTATTTATGGCCCTTGACTCGGTTTCCGCATCTGAGCGCCACCCGAGCGTCACTGTGCGCACTATGTGATTTAAAGTGTGCCAAGTGCTCAGAGAGCAATGGCGCCCGTAGTGTTTATAAATGTCGGCTGCCATCCTTGTTGCTGATTTATGTTCTTCTAGGAGCCATTATGCAGTGAAATATATTTCTCATGTATGTATAGTTCCTTGAGAAACACGAATGAGCTCATACTGTCCTGCGCCTCGCTGGCTTTACCATCTTTTCAATGAGCTTTTAGTATTTCTTGAGTATCTCTCAGCATGCGCCTTTGACCAGCTGGCACAGTGCTGCGTGCACAGTAGTGCCCTCTGGGCCACACCGGACGTGTTCCAAGACCCCCCAGCAGGTGACCGAAATAATGGACACTACTGACACCCAGAGTGTGTTTTCTCCTTACACACATACCTGTGGTAAAGCTCAGTCTGTGAATTAAGCACAGTAAGAGATGGAGAACAATCGTAGCAATACAGTGTGACACAAGTCTCTCCGTGCTCCCTTTCGAAATAGGTTACTGTATACAGTATTTTCAGACTGAGGATGAATGTGGGTAGTGAAGTGTGATAACAGTCTAGATGTACCATAATTATTTACTCAACCCCCCACTGACGGACACTAAAAGTTGCTTCCATTTTGTTCTATTTTAAGCAAGGCTATAATGAAAATTCTTATAAACCTAGAACCTTGCATGGTCGTGTAAATTTCTGAGATACTTTTCTAGTTATAGCATTTCTGGCTTATAAGTTTTACTGATCTGGTTAAGTGAAAGAGGGTACCTCACTGTTTTATTTCTTCAATAACAAATGTGGTTGTACTTAGAGAACACGGATATCTTCTTATCACTGTTGAAGTGTGTGTATATTTTAAAGTCTGTTTTTAAAACCTTTTTCAAGTATTGGTATTACATATAATTTCTGTATTTTCAAAAATATACACTCATTTAAGTGCTTTAAAACCTGGAGTGGAAACCAACTGTTTCAATAATAACGTATCATACAGACACTGATGGCAAGAGGATATACTGCAAACAGTACCTTCATCATAGTAAAACAGTTTCATGGTCAAACAAACATCATTAGGCAGCGGCCCCAGATTTTGCATCAGAATATATATCTTGCGAATGAGGAGAATACTCGCTTTCTTGGTGTCAGCAGATGACATGCTGGGTTCACTGGCTTGGTTTTTACTAGAACAGAATCCCACATTATTTTATGAAGCCTCTAGCTGCTAATGACATAATTTCATTTTTTGCTATTTGAGATTCCTACTCCTACTATAGCATAGTTAAGTAGAAAGTTAACATAGGTGTGTTTTAATGTCACATTTACAAATTTATTATCATTAATATCACTTTATTATCATTATAAATGAATAACTTAAATGTGTATTCTATATAAGATGTTTAAAGGAAACAAGTGACACATTTCACTTCTATTTCTAAAATCACTCAGGCATTCAACAACTTTTCTATTATTTGCTTGTTTCACAATTCAAAATCAGCACAGACCCACGACTTGCAGTTACTCCAAGGCTATATTATTGCACAGGCACACCCCTGTTAATTCACTCAAAATGTTTGTGAAGTTTCAGAACTAACCCTGAGGTTTCCGTTTACATTATTAATATGAATGAGTGGTAATCTATACTATAAAATGAAAACTGAACAATACCTTATGAAGTCCATGATTGGTCCATTAATGGTATACTTGAATTTAAACTGGTAACATTCTGAAATTGTCTTAAATAGAAAACACTGCAGTTACTTATCTGAGATATAAGTACTGATTGCCAAGTTGATATGTACTGCTTCTGTCTGACTCAACATTTGATTTTTTTCTGCTATGTTAATCCCTATCAGTCCACGGAAACTTTCAAGTCCACTGTCATTTCCCATGGCTTGGGCTTTGAGGCTCCAGTCCTGGAGATATTTATTTCCTCATTCATTTATAATGCGTGATACATACAAACCAGAAGGAAGGGCTCCTTGGCAGGCCAAGTAGTGGAGAGGGCTTATCTCCTACTTCAGCAGAGTGGCTAGACACAAGACTTAAATCCTTGCTGTACTGTAATCACCAGCATCATTTAAGTCTTCTAAGTCTCAGTTTCTCCAGCTAATGAAAGAGGTTGAAAATAGTACCAATCTTACTGGTGATTGTGGATATTTATCAAACAGGGTACTTTGTATACAGAGTCCTTAAAGTGTCTGCTATGCCAAGCATTCAATAAATATTAGTCCATCAGCAAGCTTGCTCTTTTACTAAAAGAAACCTATGCAATTATAAAGCATATGAACATCTTCTGAATAATCAGTTTCTGAACAACCATCACATAATGCACAGCCTTTGCCCATATGACTGTCACTGAGGAAATATAGTAAGTATTAATAGCAGGAGTGAGTGTTAAAGAAAAGGCATTCTCAGTGCTCCTGAAAGTCCAACATTTTACTGCTTTCTTAACATTCAGGAACTCACACAGGGATGGGGATTGGTTCTCTTTTAAAAAAATCTGCTTCTCAATTACAGAATGAAACACTGTATTGTAACAGCTGAAGTGTAATGGTTAAGCACCTAGATCATGAATGGCTTTCTTGGGTTCAAATGTGAATTGTGCCACTGTGAATTTAGGCAAGAAACCTTGCATGTGGGTTTCTTTATCTAAAAAGTAGAGATAGTAAATCATGAAGGGTGGGGTGAATAAATGAGATAACACATAAAGTCTCCAAGAATAATCAAATAATAGTATCCAACTGGCTCTTAATTTCTTGTCTTCTGGATGTCAGATGAAGAGGTGGATGTGAGTGGATTAGGATGAATATTCAAAGCTTTAAGGATGAGTTTATTTTTCTCACTTTCAACACCTTTCAAAATTTTATAAAAAGACTGTTGTAAAGAACCCAAAGTTAGGAGATTTAGTAACAATATTAATCTGTTTAAAGATAACAATGCAAGCCCTTTTTGCCTAAAAAAAAAAATCTGAGTTCTAAATTTTAAAGTATATATTAAAATGTAGTGTTAAAAGTATAAGATACAATTTTGTTACTTTTAGATATCAGAGATATTATTTCTTTACTTCTTAAGCACACTTACTTGAGGGTCTTCAGGATTGGTGTACACCTATTTAAAAATAATTTACAATTGAGTTATATAAAGCAAACAGTCAAGAGAAATTAACAGGATACTTAGACTGCACCATTAAAAAAACTCAGCAGGGCCCTCCCTGGTGGTGCAGCCAGTTAGTGCAACACTGGGAAGCTGGCTGCAGCCACTTCCATGCTAATTCCATCCCTGGTCCTGGAGGTACCCCCAGGGCGCAGCAGACCTCTCCTCTCTCCCGCTGCTCCCCTCAGCAGTGGACTTCACCTACCTGCCTGTTCTGCTCCCCACTCTCTCAGATCAATTCTCACCGCCCCTGCACCTCTGGCTTGTACCCCAGTTTTGTATACATACATACATACATACCTCAATAACTCAGCAAAACAAAATACAAAATCACTTCCCCAAATATTGTTAGTTTTCCCCATTGATTAGATCAATTGTTTGGATAAAGGGATATAATCATGTAATGATTTTAGTGTTATTTAATCAGTGTCTTAAAAAAGAACAATTTGAAAATACTTACAGCTAGAACAACCATCCTTAGCTGAAACACAACAGAGAAAAAAATCTTACTTTTACTCGACACTCTATTTTTTTCTGTGATGGATCTCAGAATTCTTTGTACTACTTTAACATTTACGCCTAATAAGAAAATCGATCTTGTAGAAAAACAGACTTTATATCTACTTGACTTATTAATTTATGTAATGACTTAAGCAAACAGGGTTATTCCAGCCAGTTACAAGGAAGAAATGTATTGTGAAATCTTACCAATATAAGATCTGATTTTGAAAAGAAAAAAAGTAGACGAGTTCATTTGACAATGGCAAGAGACTATGGAGACCCAGGAATAGAGGATCACGGGAAATCACTCAAGTTTACCAGCCAAAAAAATCTAAGAGTCAGATTTTTCCTTTTATTCCACAGCCAATCCATCAACAAGTCCAATCAGCTCTACTACCAAATATATTCTGAGTCTTCCATTCGCCCTCTGCTATCTCGGCATAAGCCACCATTATTTTCACAGTACTGCATATTCTCCTTCTACATTTTACTTTTTAAATAAGAGTGATTTCTCTTTTCATTTTAAATATAAATCAAATGTTACATTTCTATTCAAGACCGTGAAATGAGTTCCATTTACCCTAAGTAAAGCCCCAGTGCCTGACCTCCCGGAGGCAGAGGCACGGCCCCACCTGCCCAGGCCCGTCCAGGCCACCGCCTCCCCGCGCACCCAACTCCACTCTCCGAACTCCCTTCTTTGCATCTGCTGTTCTGCTAGACTGTCCCCCCAAATCAAAGTCTGCCTGGTTTCTTTTCATTCAAACCTCACCTCCAGTAAAAGCCACCTCCTCACAGAGCCCCTCTGATCACCCTGGTGCAGGCTACCCACTTTTCCACTTCCTAAAAACGGCAGTGGCATTAACACTAGTGGAAGTGATCTGACTTTCTTGTCCACTGTTTTTTCAGCACAGAAGCGAGCGCTTTGTCCACTCATCGATCAGCTCCTACCTAGAAATGTATCTAGCAGATTGCAATCATTCAATAATTAAATATTAAATGCCTCAGTGAAAGAGGTCAACGACCTTGTGGATAAAATGTTATCTTCACAACTTTTTTAGTGTTGAATTTCTACAAGTTGATATAGACATAGGTTAAGTACACAAGAAGGGTTATTTTATAGCAAAGCCTTATTCGTTGAAATTTCACAGTAATACAAAACTTGTGACAATTTAGATTACATGGAAATTTACTGTTGAACTTTCATAAGGAAATAATTTGTTAAATTATTAGTATAAAAAGATTGTGGAAGACAAGGAAGAAATATATTGTGAAATCTTATCAATATAATGAGCTATTTTAAAAGAATTTAATTCATTAAATTTTTGTAAGTGAATGTGTCACTAATACAAATACGTGTTAATAATTAATCAAACCTGGCTTTCCAAAACTTGCGAAGTACTACTTTTATGAGCTTTAAATAAATTGAGTATTAGTCCATAAGATACTCAAGTGCTTTTTCAGCATGGCCTGTGCCAAAGGTAAGGTTTTATTCCTTGGTAATTGTTATAATTGTAGAATAAAAGGTAGGAAAGAAGGACAGAGATGCTGACTTACGTATTTTTTCTGCAAAGCATCATAGCATCCTAGCATCCTAAAAAATAACCAAGGACTTGTTTTTAGATGGAGTGCATTTCCAGAAAACAGTACTTTTAGCAAATCTCCAATGACCTCACTATATGCTTTCTCAGCATACAATAATACAAAATTTTCCTACTAGAGCTTTCTTCTTGTTAACTAGTTTAAAAAAAAAATGAAACAAAACAACATGGCAGGATTATGAGAAGCTGGTAAAGCATGGAAGAGTAGGTATAAAATATCTGACAGCTATTTGTGGGGAACACAAATAGGAAAATGATGGAGCACGAAGTAAAATGCAAAAATTCACAGACTTGAAAAAATTATACTAATGGCTAAAGAGAAACATTAAAATTCAATTAAACACCGAAGGGTCTCCAAGGTTCAAAACAAGGTGATTCAAAACAGTTCTCTATTACTAGGTTTCCTTTGACTTACCACTTCACTAGCTGTGTAGATCCTGGGCAGTTCTTATCTTCTCTCAGAATTTTGACACAAAGATCTAAGCACAAAAATGATGACATAAATATAGAACTACTTAGGATTAGTAAACAAGTAGAATTTTTTTTTTTAGATTTATTTATTTATGCACACAGAACTTGGGTACAGGCCAGAGGTGCAGGGGTGGTGAGAGGCTTCACCAGAGACAGAGCGGGGAGCAGAACAGGCAGATCGACGAAGTCCACTGCTGAGGGAGCAGCGGGGAGACAACAGGGTCTGCAGTGCCATGAGGATCATCAAGGGGCCGGGGATCAAATGTGCATTGAAGTGGCTGTGGCCAGCTTGCAGTGCTGCGCAAGCTGCACCCGCTGCACCACCAGTGAGGACCCACAACTAGAAATTTTAAATGAGGATTATTTTCTTTAGCTGCTTATTATAAGTAAAATATTTGTAAAAGGCCAAGAATTTAACTGGTTATAAAAGAGAACCCTGAAAAAGGACCACGTCATACAGTGGAAGGGAATGAGAAGATCTCTTTCTCTCTATCTTTATCTGAAAAATATGGTGAGTATCTGAGTCATCAGAGCCTCCCGGATGGCGCAACAGGTTAAAGCACAGCACTGTGAAGCTGGCCACAGCCACTGCAGTATGAGTTCGATCCCCGGCCGGGGAGGGACCTACAGGGCACGGCAGACTTCTGACCCGCCCGCTGCTCCCCTCAGCAGTGTGTTTCAGTCAGTCCGCCTGTTCTGCTCCCTACTCTGTCTCTGGTGCATCCTCTAACTCTCCCCACCCACCCACACCTCTGGCGTGCAACCCAGTTCTTGTATGCATAAATAAATATTTTAAAAAAATCTGACTCACCAGCCTGTAATACAAATCAGTAAGTCACCACAAATAACACAGTCCTTAACAGATTGCCCAGCACACAAAGTTACATACTGGGTTAATATAAATTGGCTGTATTCTATTCTTCCTAAGATAACACGAACCATGCACTACCACTGTACAAAGGTAGAATAGAATACGTTATCTACTTTCTTCATCGTTGTAAGAGTAACAGCTGGTGAAACTAGTGATATTACAAATATTTAAAAAAAAACCCACTTTTAATGTGGATGGCCACATTAAAAATGTGCCACATATATGGCATTATTTATAATAATTAAAATCGGAAAGAACCCAAATGGTCAACAGCTGAGGAATGTATAAAATGTGGTATGTCCATATAGTGGGCCATTACTCAGCAGCAAAAAGAACCAAGGAGTACTCTTGCCTATGATGTACGCATGAACTTTGAAAGTGGCAGAAGGCACGTTCCCAAAGGGCCTCATGTTGTACTACAGCACTTAGATGGACGGGCGTTTCTGCTCTCCTCAACCATACAAATCTTCGTCATTTACATGAAGTGCCCAGAATAGCCAAATCCATAAAGGCAGAAAGTGGGGTTGTGGGAAATGGGGAATGACTTCGTGGGTGTGGGGTTTCCTTTTGGGGTGATGAACATGTGCTAGAAGTCCTTGAATGGCAGGCTTTAAATGAGTAAACTGTCAGGTGTGTGAATTCTACCTCCAAAAGGTGCTATTCAAAAAGCAAAATCTCAAAGTCAAAAATTACAGTTTGAGTAAACCAAAATAAAAGTAACACGCTTAAAGAAAAAGATTAAATGAACATTATATTACCATCCAGGTATCTTGTTCCATAAGCACATTCTGGAAATATTCCTCTCAAGTAGGTGATGCAGGAGACCGAAACTGCTAGAAGCCTCTTCACTAACACCAAAGACTGCTGCTCAGTTGATATCTTACTGGGAAACACCAAGGCGCTCTGAAATTCCAGGGCGGCGAAAACAGATCAGATTTTTTAAAAATAGAGCTAAGGTGCGCACAAGCATGGTTCTCCCGACAATTCCCCCCGGCGCGCAAAGCTCGGCAGGGAGCCTGCCTCCTATGAGGGCCCGCCCGCGCGGC